AAGCTGTGCGTGGCGCGACGAGTGCGTGTGTGTCGGTGCATGTGCGTGTGTGTGCGCGCGCATGTCCGTGCGTGTGTGTCGGTGCATGTGTGTATGTTAGTGCATGTGCGTGTGTGTGCGCGCGCGAGTGTGGGTGCGCGCGCGTGTGTCGGTGCATGTGCGTGTGTGTCGGTGCGAGTGCGTGTGTGTTGGTGCATGTGCGCGTGTGTTAGTGCACGCGCGTGTGGTCGCGGCGGCCGCGGGGTAGACGCTGGGCGGGGCCCNGCGGAGGGCGGGGACCCAGGGGGGAGGGGTGGGCGCAGGTTCCCGTCCTTGTCAGCCGCTCAGGCGCCTTCCGGCCAGTCCTTAACCCGCACACTCCGTTCGAGTACATGATCCTGGCCACCATCATCGCCAACTGCATCGTGCTGGCCCTGGAGCAGCACCTCCCCGATGGGGACAAGACGCCCATGTCCGAGCGGCTGGTGAGTGCGGGCGGCCCAGAGCCTGGGGCCTGGGCTGGGGCGGAGGCAGCCTTCGGAGTCCCCTCGGAGTCCCCTCTGAGTCCTCATCGGTGCCCGAGCACTTGCTTGCTTGGCAAGGAGACTTCAGCCGAGGAAAGGGATAGAGCTTGGGCCCCTAACGCTCCCCACAAGGGCCAGGAGCCACCCTACACCCCAAACGGGCCACTGAGGCCTGTGTCGCTGGCCTCGGTCTAAGCATTCATCACGTGTAGTCAGGAATGTCAGGCTCTAGGAGTGCCCAGGGAGCGCTGGGCTGGCCGCCACCCTTGCCTGCAGGGCTTTGACAGCCTTTGGCTCCTGTGGTGCAGCCATGAATCTAGAGACCATGAACCTCTCCTTTGGAGTTACCTTCTGTGGCCCTGCTTGAATCCCCTGCCCCAAGGGGGCCATCCCTTCCCGTGGGGACCATTCCTTTGCAGACGTTCTGAATCATTCCTGCCCACCCTTAGCTTCCTGCCAAAGGCTCCCCAGGCCCCTGTGGTATCCCCTGTTGAAGCATAGAACCCGTGAGAGTGGGGGGTCTCTGTAGGGTGGTGGGACCATGGTCCTCCTGGCCCAGCAGGAGGCAGAGTTGAAGGACAACCGTGGGGTCTCTGGAGGGACTGGGTCAGAGGGAAAGGTGACATTTCAGGTGATGAGCACCATTTCAAAGCTGAGGCATGTACCCTGTCCCACACATCTCCCCGCTGCTTTGGCCCCCTTGCCTGGGCTCAGTGTGGACTCAGCATGGGCTGAGGAGCAGCAAACATGGGTGTCCAGCGAGGGGCCTGTGTCCTGAGGTCCCTGAGAACATGGCTTCTCCTGGGGGCATCCAGAGGCTGCTCCTTCTTGCCTTGAACCCTGGCTCTGCTTCCCTAACTCCAACTGGAGATGAGGACCTCTAATAGATGAGGCCTGTTGGGTGCTGAGCATGGGACCTGGCTCAGTGGTGCAGAAGGGGTGATGGGTGAGGCTGACCTGGAGGTGCCCGTGAGTGGGTGGGGCACCGGGAGTAGGCAGGGAAGTGGACAGCCAGGGCACAGGGAGGTTTCATGGAGCACAACCCAAAAGGCCACATGGGGCTTGGGTCTTGGGAGTCAGGGGACGAGGGGTGTGAGGGACAGCCCAGCCAGCCACACCACAAGGTGAAAGGTGAGTCGTGGTCCCTGTGGGGGAATCGGGCATGGAGCCTGATGGGGTTGCTCACCTTCTCTGGGCCTCAGGCTCCTGCTGGTGATGTGGGTCCTCTGGCCACTTTGTCCCAGGAGTCAGCATCCACCCCAGAACCTAGGAAGAGGGTATAAGTGGGAGGAAACTGGGGTTACGGCAGGCAGCCTTGAATGCTAGGCCATAGGGTGCATGCATATCTCCAAGGATGTCTGGCAGGAGTAGGAACAGAGGGGCTCACAGCCTAGGGGTCAGACCAGGGGCAGGGGCAGGGAGGCCGGTGTGCAGTGGTCAGGGTCAGGCCTGTGCTGCCCTGCTGGGTGGCAGGTGTAATGGAGGCATGGAGAAGCCTGATGTTTGGGCTCCCACCTGGCAGGTGTGGGAGGGTTTGCTTTGTGGCCACGGGTGTGGGAGGGATGCACTTTTAGGAGTTGGGGGCCATGGTGTCGGGCCCTGGACCTGGCCTGAAGGTCTGAGGAGCTCTTGGCTCACCTCAGTCCCATGTGCAGGCACAGCCCTCGAAGGCCCTTAGAATGGACGGAAGGTTGGCGGTGCTGCCGGGAGACAGGTCGAGGGCTGGCTGGTGCAGTGGCGTCTCTCAGCTGTTTGCTAGACACACCCTAGGTGGGGCCTCCCTGGCTCCCTGGCTCTGGGGGCTCCACTTCCCACCCACCCACCAACTTCCTGAGCTGCCTTTAGCAGGAACCCCCACCTTGCAACACCACCGACTCCCATGGCTGCGGCCACCCACCCCTGCCAGCCCGCCCTCAGCTGCCTGCCGGTCACGGGTGGGGCTGGGAGAAGGGTCTGGGTGGCGCCTCCGGCCCAGCTGCCGGCTCTGGAGTCTGGCCGGCTCTTCTCTTTTCTATCCAGAAACTTACTGTGAAAACCGGTGTTGGCCGGGGCTCAGCTGTCCCCCTGGGGCAGGTGGTCAGCAGCCCCTCCCTTTGGGGAGAGGAGGCCTCTCAACTAAACTAGACCAAAAGGTTCAAGGCCAAGAGAGCCGCGTCCTCCTTCAGGAGCCTCACCCGTCATGAGTCAGCCTCAGGACAGCAGGTTGAGGGGCCTGGCCCGACGGACACTCAGCTGCCCAGGCCTCCTGGGGAGGAAGGCACAGGCTGTGGGACAGGCCCACCC